CAAGACAGAAAAGAAGCTGCGACGTGGCAAGATAAAAGAGACTCGCCATTTTCGAGAACAAGAAACTCTTGTTTGCAAGTCATTATACCATGTCGGAAGAATAGTTTTTACTCTGTCTTAATCTCTTCCCCGTCTTACTAAGCGACGGAACAGAGCATATGTACACGTGAGAAGAGACAGCTAAGACTTGGGGCATAACAAAATATATGTATTTTTTTTTAAATAAAACAGAAACATAAAATTTGTTATAGTTAATTTCAACACAATACGTTACATACTAAAAAAAATTTTTACTTCCACAAAAAATATTTTCTCTATTCATTGAAACATCTTTCATTAAAAACAATATTAGAATTATATGCTCGTTGTTTTCATCCATTCACACACATATTAATAATTTTCATATATTGTTATTTAAATCATTCCGCGATTCTTCAATAATACAATATTTTTCCCACTACCTATAATGAATATAACAAAATAACAAATAATTAATCATGTATAAATTTAACTTAAATTAAATTAAATGTTTTCTTTTAGTAATATTATATGTGTGCTTTTCATTTTACAATGCAATGTGAATAAATTCTATAGTTCTCACGGCTAGTAACTCACGTACGATCAAGAAATTAATATATTCCACATTTACCTCCAACCCATTTTTATAACATGCAAGAAAGATAAATATATGCATATATTGTCATTAAAGTGTCATTACAATTCTGTATTCTCTTTCACTGCATATAATCCACCGTTACTGTTCCATTAATGTGCATTAAGCAAGCGATTTCATGGCGATACAAAATCGGCATATTCTAGCAATGCAGATTATCAACGCGCACACGTATTCTCTACTTCCAGTCAAATCATGAATGGCCCATCAATTTGTTAGGTTCCATTACTAGTGGAATGTTCGGTTGAACGGAAAACGCACTTGATAATAGAGCAATCGCATTCCTGAATCCATATAGTTGAATAAGAAATTTGTGTAATACAAAAACTCATTTAATTCCGGTAAGAAATATTTCCATGAACAAAAGAGAGATTATATATTAAATTATAATAGCATTAATCTCATACTTCAATAAAATTGTAACATTGATGATCCAACAAAGCAAGACTTGAATTATAAAATTTTATCAATACCCGACATTCAATTAAAAATAAGTATAAAAAGAACTATATATAAGTTTATATTTAATTCGATCTTTTTTATAAAATCATTTTCATTATGTAAAGATCCAAAATTCAGAGAAATAATAAGTAACAACAAGCATTTATAAAAAGTAATGCAAAATCATAGACTAAATGTTGCATGATTGCTGTTATTTTGCAAAAGAAAGATTGCTAACGTATTATCAAGTGCGTATGACGCGAAGATCGGAGAGAAAAAGCTTAACGACAACATCAGAGTGATTTTGCTGCGTCACCCGAATTAACATTTTAATTAACGGCACGGGAAAGTGATGTTCCAGCGCGCATACCTCGCTTTACGTTCCACTCTATGGAAACCGTCAGCGGTTCCGGAAGTCGCTGAGAAGAGTGACGACTACCTCACGAAGGAGTTTCCGAGGCATCGAAGCAAAACCTCGGCACAACCCAGAGCTTAATTAGGCGCACCGAGGCGCACGGAGGCGTTTAATTTGTTCGTGCATTCGCGTGATCGAAAGTTCATAGTCCTTAACCTTGACCTACGATCTCGCGATTTCTAATGAACGAGAATGACCTCGAATATATCTGAGTCATTAATTCACACATTGATAGAATCGTAACGTAGAATTATCAGGTTATTTATACAATTTTTATTTTGCTTCGACAATACGCGCATACATTTGTATATTGCTATAAATATATAATAATAACAAAGTAATGATTCCAAGCTTGATGTCTTTTCATTTAACACCTATAATCATTTATTAGAATTATTCGTAAAATTAATTAATGAAAGTATAGTGAGTTTTGAATACGGAAAATATAACACTGATATTTAGAAAAAAAAACGTGTGTCTTAATAATGAAATTTTTATATTGCTGTAAAAAAAAGGTATCTCTCTGCAATATTTATTGTTGCGTGATTATTTTATATAAATAATTGAATAAAACATTTTACAAGATGACAATTTTTTTATTTTATCGGTAAAAATCTATTCAAACTTGTTCCGCTTGATTTCAATTTGTTGAAAATAAATGTTTCACTGTGCAATGTAGCATTTAAAAAGGTATTTATTTGTTTTCAAGCGAGCAGTAGTTAGCCTTGCAGATATTTTTGTGGCATTATTGGATTGTAGTTCAAATAATATCGTATGCTCTCTCTCTCGAGAGAGAGATAGATACGCATGATAAATGATTGCTCTAAAACATTAATATTAAGAAAATTACTCAATCCAATTAACATTGGAAGATAAAAGATAATATAAGAGACATTTCCTTTTAATTTATTGAGAGAATAAATTACTTTATAAAAAAAACAGAGAGTAAAAGAATTTGTGTAGTTTTAAATAATATCTAATTTCTCGCAAAATCAATCGTTCTACATAAACTAGGTATTCTACGATTTCGTATGCCACGAAGATGTCATAAATATACTAAATTATTTGAAATTGGACCTTGTCGATCAAACCATCCAAAACATGTTTTTAATAAGTCTATTCTTGATTAATTCCGAGTCACATGTCACAACGTTTCAAACACAAAAATGAGAGTTTTTCGACTATAAATTTAGATTCTCGACTATAAATTTAGATTCTACTAAAATTGATACTTTTAGCTGCGTCAATTTTTAACTTCTTGCAAAAATCAAAAGATATCGGAATCTCAATTGTATCTTGATGTTAACAAATATTTTCACTAAATAATTGATGTGACAAAGATAGATAATATACAATAAATTAATTTATCTATAATAAAATACTAAAAAGTGTATAGAAATAACAAATGTAAATAGACCAAAACCGGCCAAAATCTATGAAACATGTATTCAATATAATTTTTCTCATATGTTGCATAACTCTCTTCTTTGCGAACGTCATAATGATCAAATCATATTATATATATTTCGTGAGATTAAATTTTGCATTTCTCCCACGACCACTTCTCCAAGTTCCTCGAATTCGATCATTCTCGTTAAAGATTGATTTATATTCAAAGTTGTAAGCATAATGCAACCGAACTCTAACTCGACTTCGTTGATAGACATTTGGACAGAATAGAATAGATCGTTTCGATGTTAAACTCCGAAATAGCAAGAAGTATGCATTAATTACATGCAATCGAAACGAATCTTATTCCAGTTGGAGTCAAACAAGATTTTGACAATAGAGCAAACTTTTGAAATGTCAGACTATTGTTTATGTTATAAATTAAATGATCAATACTCCATAGATAGATCGTATATCCAGAGATATCTAATTTTACATCATATAAATAGTTCCATCATCATCCCATCATATAGACACACTATCAAAACAAATTTAATGCAACGTTGTTTCTTGAAATGACACGAGGTCAACTGCATAGTGCATAAACACTTAAGAAAAACTACGATCTACACTCGATCGATATTATTATGCATACATACAAGGATAAATATATATATGTCATATATGTTTTTACAGCAAGCGAGAATTACTAAGCAAATTTTAAATGTACACAAAAAGATAGAACATGTTATTGCATTGGGCATTTTATTTATATAATATATTTTATACGCTCATGTACTGTTTTTAAAAAATATTGTTTATTTTATGTAAATTATATTATTTTCTAATATATACGCACACATATACGTTTTAAATAATCTTTTTAAAGTTAACATACAAAACCATTTAATGTTGAATTGCTGTTCAAATTTATTATATAATAATAAACATTATATGAAAATAAGACATCATTGACGATGGATTGATATCGTTGTGATGTTACGACGTTGACACAAAAGATAAATACTAAATAAATTGTTATTATGTATGAATTATATGCAATTTATTTCCGTGTGCAATTTTTTTTACGCAATATTTGCATATTCTATAAGACAAACAGTCAATTAATGAAATTTCCACTTTCGTAAATACTTAAAATATTTAAATTATCGACTCTATATCAAGCAAAGTATTCACCGTTATCATGTTAATGACGTAAACACGCCCGTTCACAATCAAACCTCTCATCAAATTTGTGTCCATTATTATCTCTACAATTCTTCATTACATATTAAACATATGTAATGGTAACATATTAATAAATAAATTTAACTTTTTGAAGAAAAAAAGATTTCCTTTCTAGAAATTTATATACACGCACTATGAAAAATTCAAGTATAGTAATAAGAATAAATCATATCCGCGCAATATATGCTGACCTCAAATGATATTTGGTTTTATGTACTCACATTGATAAAATGTTACGTCATCTATTGCATTGAACGTAAGGATGTCTGTTAGTAATAAATTCCATGGCATTGCCATTCTTTTTTTCTAATATGGACAACACGCACCTGTCCAGAGTTCATTATTTCGTGATTAGTTCGTCAGAGGTACTTGTGCGTATCGTGAAACGAGCTGTACTTCGACCGCACTCTGGGGCGCCAGGCAGCTGACCTCCGCATCGATTACAACATTCATCGGAGAGAGATGCGGAATGTGAAACGGAACGAGACGGAGCGCGAGCGTCAAGAATGGGGTATCCCCTCCCATTGTATCTCCCCGTATACGATGAGGAATACGCATGCGCACGTTAAACGAAGCGTGTCTGTTATGTCGTGTGTTAGGTTCTCTTCAAGTTACTAAAAATTTCACGTCCCCGCGTATTTGGCGACATCGCGAACGTCCGCTCTCGCCGTAACCGTGCACAATCATCGTCCGTATCGTTATCTATATTTGGCTGATAATCGATCTGTCATGGTGCCGAACGGATACCCGTGATACGCGTCAATGGAAATGCGAGGCACGGGCGCGTAAGTGAACAGATATGCGAAACTAGCTGTGTATCAGTGCGTTACTCACGGCTTGTCAGGCTGCGATCTGCGGACCATCTGTTCCGCTTTTTTGATCTCCTCCGCCCTCGTTACGCTCTTCGTTCTACGCGATCGCTTCCGAAAGTCACTGTGCTCGTACTCGGCCGTCATGGTGTCGTCGTTTAGATGCGACGTAGAGGAACATATAGAAACACGCGTATTTGTGGCACGACGCAAATTACGTTCGTTGGCGTGAGAAAGAGAGACTCGCGGATGAAAGCGAGAGCCGACACGTTCCCGAACACTTCTGACTCTCCGCCGTCAGTGAGACCTATCCGCGTGGTAACGGCGGTAACGACCACTGATGCTGATAACAAGGAAGCTTCTTCCCGATGCGTGAGAGGCGTGCACGCCAAACGTTACAAACGACATGAATTTTAATCTCCGCTCGGACGCGATTCTGTCATGCTCACTATGACGTGGTTACGATCGTACTACTATGGAATGTGCGCGAGTCTCTACCTTTCTCTCTCTCTCTCTCTCTCTCTCTTTCTGTTAGACGATTGTTTATCTACGTGTTTATCGCTTTCCGGCAGATAACGGTCGTCGACTGACTCTTTCCGATATTGGAAACTCATGTGTCTCGCGAAACATGTGCAAGTCACGTGTACATTTGTCCTTTGAAATCGTTCAGAATTAATAAACAACGTCACGTAGTAATCAAAATAGAATTCTATCTTTCTTTTCAATTCATAAGATTTTATTAAAATTAAAATTAAATTAAAATTAAAATAATTATAATAATAATATTAAAATAAAATAAAAATTTTTTATGACATTACAAAAAATTTTATTATTTAGATTTTAAATAAATATGTCTAATAATGCCTGTGTAATTTACATATATGTAATCTATATATAAAATCGTCGGTATATGAATAGTGGTTGTAATTGACTATTTGATATAATAAATGTTGTCTGCCTGAAATATGAAATCATCTGGAAATAAATTTCTTTAGTTCCTCGAAGTCTTTCGGATAATATCGCCCCCTCCCTCTCCTTCTGCAATTAAAATAAACGATTACAATTTATCGTAGTCTGACTACAGTCCAACTATGTATTTTAACTTTTATTCTAGTCATACGTCTTTATAACACTTCTGTCCTAATTTGATAGTGATAAAAAATTGTTACGCGTGCAGTTTTTTAAAAGGCCAACGATAAGACGTGACACGTTCGAGATAGCATAAAGAAATATATTTTACACATTGAGCTTTAAACGATTTTTAAACATTTTGCAAAAGAATGCAGACAATATAATACTTCGTATATAAAACTGCTGCTATAATATACCTTGTATATTGTATTTATATTTAAAAAAAATGCCACTAAAACAAATAATAAGAATAAATGTTATTAACAATTAATTACGAATCATTCGTTCAAAGCTTTAATATTTAAGAGAATGTGATCTCTCTGTATGTCATCACAGCTTGTACTACAACAAAAAGAACACGGGTTCTAATTTCATCGTATCATTCGCAGGCCAGTTTCATATTACGATTCAATTACGAAACTAGCTGGCAAGTCGTCGGTCATTGCTAAATCAAACATTTCGACAGCGACACATCCCAAGCGATAAAGTCGACGACGAGGTAATCACTGTGTCGTCACTTACATTAAGATTTCAGATAGCGCAATGCTGTCACTTCATCGCGGAACTTCGATTTCGGGTAACTTCTGACTCTCCGGATCTCCAAAGTTCGGAGCAAATAAAGCCTGAACCCCGAACACGTGAGACAATTTCGCAAATCGGTCGCTGGAAGGTATCGTCAAACCAAACGAAACGAGGAACCCCGAGCTAATTAAAGTACACATGCGGCGTAGGGTGCTGAGAGCTGCAAAGATCCTTGGGAGATGTATGAGGGATCTACCCTTACGTAGATTGCGGGCTTACGGAGCGATGACGCGTACGAGTTTCCACGATCCGTTATTACACGAAGACGTGATATACGTGATATACTCCGAACTGTTTAAGCCAATTTTTTTCCCAAAAGAAATCAAAATCCCGCACGTTTCAAAGATATATAAGGATGGCTCATGCAATTTTTTAAATTTATTTTTTTTTATTTTACCGCATTTCAACGCACGTCGATTAGTGTAAAATAATTAAAAGAATTCTCCGATTTATATATATTAATGTTATTGATAATAATGTACGTAAATATAAGAAAAATAGAGAATGTATAGCAAATAATATTTTTTTTCTCCAGTTCTAACCTTTTTTTAAATATAATAAAATTTTAAAGTAATCTTAAGTTAAATTTTAAAGTAATCTTAAGTAAAATATAAAATCGTTACGAATTTATCATTTTATTTTACAATATTAACTCGATGAGATATTGACTTCATATTTTTGCGTTTCTTGATCTGGTTCCAATCCAATTGCAGAACAAATACTAATCTTGTACAGACCTTTAATATTCCAGTAATATTCCATCGACCGCAAAGTAACAAGTAAACATTCGCCCGATGGTAAACTACTTGGCGTAATCTTCATATAAGGAAAAACAGAACAGTCGCGTATTTATCCCTACATCCTCGGAAAATTTACCCGAAAACTCGTGTGGCTGAAAATCGCGTTTGTACGAAACCTCGGGAGATTGGCACGTACCAGCAGTACAATCTCTAGCTTGCCATTCCGCTTCGCGTACTACTGGCGGTCATCAAAGTTCAAGATTATTGTAAAATGTAAACTATTGCAAATGCGAACGCTATTTTCCTTCTCGTAAACGTTTGCTATATCCAAAGACTGTTTCCATTTTAGACTGACTCTAAACTTTGCCCTTTCTCTCTCTCTATTATCAATGTTATTATTATCAAATTGTCGTTTTTATAATTTAACGAGAATAAGAGAGACGGAGAAGACACACGTCTATCTGCATATCTATTTCAAATCATTCAATTTCATTTTATTTTTATTTTATCTCAAATGAGTATTTTTGCATCTCCAAAAATTTATTTTTGTTAAAATGTGTTTTTATTAAACGGTGCATTTGTATTGAAAAACCCATTTATATACGATATAAACAAATAATAAATTGTACCACTTTTTATCTTGGAATGAATTTAACTTTTCAGCCGACTGTACTAGAACTTTGCCGCACTTAATTTCAACGTAATCGGGGTATCCTTTCCGCCAGTAATGCAACTTCGCGAATTAAATTTTGCGAAATCGAGACGACCGTGCGTTTACCGACGCATTCCGCAGAAATTTCGCAAACAATTTCGTATACGAGTGAGAAACGCTCTTGCCCTGCGAGACCGGAAGCGGATGAATCGACACGTAGCAGCGCTACAACATCGCACGTTTATACTCGTTCGTCGACGCTTTTCAACGCGAACTCGCGCATTCCGCGTGCACAGTCGTTCGGACCGCGATAGGGAAAATGCGGTGGGAAGAAAAGCTCGTGCAAGTCGTTTGTGAACTCCCTTTATAGCCAACCGCGAATATACCGGACGCTACGGCGAGCACGTTACATCGCATACGCAGTTACACATTTGCCGGGGTAGACATCTGCCGAGCCAACCCTCGGAAGTTCGGGGGATTTGAGAGCGACAACGGGCGTTTCAGCACGTCCGTGGAATGGGATATTTCACTGTTGTTGATATCTGGGGACTCATCAAGATCTATCATTTATGGCCGAATTTTCGAGCACTCTAACCATACACGCACATTGCTTTATGTGCCATAAGAGACCGTTGAAGATTTTATTATCCGGTGATGACTCTTTCGATTCTCCGATACTTTAGAGGGTTTTGCTATCGACTTGATACATAATACGAGACATAAGAGAGAACACGAAGGAAGTGAATCTATGAATAATAATATAAATCGCTTTATAATATTTTTATAATTATTATTAAATATATAATATTTAAAGTCGTGAGTCATTTATTTCTATCGTATGTTCTGAATTTCTCGTCATGTTAGATCGCTTATATTTCTATGAATCTTTTTGCAATGCAAACATTTTCAATGAGGTAATTTCATGATTCTATAGTAATTGCGCGAATGATTAGTTGTTTCTTGTCAAATGACACGGAACGTCAAAACTGCAAATCTCGTAATTGTATAAAAAAAAAAAAATTGTACGGCAAGATATTAAATCTCGCAAATTGTGCCAATATTTGTAGATGTAAATTTACACGGACCGACGAACAAATGATTAAACAATACGAATCGCGTTAATTTATAAAAGAGGTCGTAGAATTTCTTTTCCGCACAGTTTAAATTTTACTGTTAAAACGTTCGCTCGTTGTAAAAGACAAATAACAATTTTTTTCACTGAAAAAACAATGGAGCATTTTATTGGCAGTTTGTAATACATAATTTATTCATCTATTAACAGATGATAAATAAATTTGCTAGAAACCCGAAACTTGCGTGCATTATCAGGAAATTTATCGCGTCTCAAATTCGTTTAAAAGAAATTACAACTAAAGATAAAAAAAAATATTATATTATCTATACTAACTCGATTTTCTGGTTTTTTCGGGCAAAAGCGCGGTGACCATTTCGTTAAACACAATCAAGATGCATGTTACAATAAACTATAACATCGGCTAAAAATTGCCACGAACATTGATAATCGGAAAATGTTATATATCTATGTAGTCATTATTATACTTTCTCGTTAGTTACTGAGCGATTCGTTTAATGATCTTGATGAGATGGGAAGTTGATCAAGCGCCTACGGGATTATTTTGAACGTTTATAATCGATTGTCCGCGTGAAATTGGCGTTAACGAGATGTCTTGTCACGTATATTACTTTCATAAAAGAATTTATAGATACAAACAAGCTCTTTGTACGTCTGCCTGAGCTTAATATAACCCTGTGGTTTCATATAGATCGGTCGATGATCGAAAGATATCGCGAGAATCGCAAATTACCGCAGTAAAGACAAGCGTGCATCAAGAAAATCGATCCATAACGAGTTATGGTTTCCGCTAAATGAAAGTTTCCGCAAGTAAGCGATAATTTTACTCGTTTGACGCCATTTGAAAAGTTGATGCATCACAACAACGTGAACGTTTAAAATCCCCGAAAGTTTACTGCGATCGAATTTATTTACTCAATGATAGTTTATCAACAAGTTTTATTATATA